TCCCGTTACCAGGATGAATGGTAAACGGAGTTTAAGCAAACATCGAATATCCACCGTCTCAAAACTAATCTAAGAATAAATGACAGTAATTAACAAGACTGACTATCACACACACGATCATGTAGAATGAATTATGGTTGAGAATCACCGTGTTAGTAATGACCAATTCAGCAAGCTTCTAAAAAGATTTTTCACTATCTACTGTCAAAGTTTGAGAATATGTTACACAGTTAGCGTCATCATCTTCGATCAATTTTCTGTAGTGATAACTTCTATTGGAATTCTACTTCAAGTAATTATTAACATGGTTCCAAGTTTTATTTTCAAAATAAACGATGTTATACATTGCATAATTGGAGGCGTTCGCCTACAGTGCCAAAGGTCCCGGGTTCGAATCCTGCGAGGAGCAGGAGTCGTGGATGCGCACTGCTGAGGAGTCCCATACTAGGACGAAACGGCCGTCCAGTGCTTCCAGGTTTCTAATGGTGGTCTAACAATGATGATTGATTAATGATTTCAAATGTGTAAAATATTTTTAGCAACAAATTTATTCGATATGAGTAATTTCGCACACTTACTCAAGTACACTATGTATTCATCACACAAGACTTAGACAGTTAAACGTTTTTATTTATTTAAGCAAAAAAAAAGAATTTCATCAATGATAACTTTTTTCGAATTTACCTAAATGTCCGTTGGGTAGTCTTTTCAATGTAGATGGTTGTTCAATTCCTGATGGGCTACGAACAGTTGCAACAAGATTATAAATATCTGTTTCCGTGATACGTAATGGCATTTCGCTGGTAGTTCCAACACAGACTTGATTGAATCGACGTGATTCACCTGTGTAAAAACAAAAGCGATATAGGTTTTTACGACATCATGTGTATCAAAACAATAAAGTGTTATGCTGCATTAGTGTGTAAAGCAGTAGGAGTTCGATTTAAATACTGAATAATTGAATAAATTTTGAAGCTATTGGAAGTTTCTTTCAGTCGTTCAGTTGCAACGTAGAATTTCCTACGTACGTACATAAGTTCAAGCTGCCATACCACATTAGCACAGAGACGATATTGTCAGTTCAAATCCCGTAGCGGTAACTAATGTATAAATATTAGCGGTTATAGAGAAGATTATGGTTCGAAGATATTATTCAAGTAGTATAATTCAGTTAGATAAATTCAAAAAGGGAAGATCGAGGTGATGAGCAATTCAGAAGATTGGAATTTCAAGGAACATATAAAATGAATGCACCTGCCTCATTGCAAACGACTTCGAGCCATGACACCCTAACTATCGGTTATTTTCGTCGATTTTTTACAAAATTTGGGATCAAACAATCGTATGCCTTCTAAAATACTCCAGAATTGCAGCAGTGCATTTGTCATATATTTGTTTATTCTGTTCAAAATAACCATGGAAATCATAATATATCAGGCTCTTTAGCCACCTAATCGTTTCATGTATTGTTATCTTCACATCGTCCCAATACCGTTCCAATATGATTATCGCAAAGTTCAGAAACTAAAAAATCATATGCAGCTGTGTTGAGTGAGAAGTTAGGGTAATATAGTTTGGTGAATGAACTAGGACCGGAATTACTATTTAATCAGCAGGTGCATTCCCATGATACAAAGTCTGTCCCACCAGGATCACTTTATTTAATTATAAACAATTATAAAGACTTAAAGGCGTCAGAACCTCTCTACTAATCTGATAAACTGAGAAGAATAACTGACTTATTTTTATATCAGCATCAAAGTGTCATTACATTTTAAAAACAAATTATTCTTTCCCGATCATTTTTCTGATCAATTTGAGTCCGTTTAACTGCTTATACTGAGTTAAACTGAATCTATAGCCACAGAATGAATAGACAGGATAACATGATGTAAGAAGTAGACCAACGTCACCGATTCTCAGTTATATCTACCCCTCCCCTGAGAAAGACTTCATGATATGGTCATGTAATTTGAGTAATATTTCAAATAAATCTTAAGGGACCATAGAATATTTTAATGATTGTAAATAGTCAGATAACTGAGCAGATTTGATCCATAAAATTTCTAACCTTTCAAGTGACATTTGACCATGAAATCATTTATATGCAAATATTCAGTATTAAACTGTGCCTGCAGCCTCCCTGAGACCACTGTCGGTCCCAAGCCCGGACGAAGTAGGAGGGTTTGGCATGGGGTTAGTGACCCCATCCAGTAGAAAACTAACTCGCAAAAAAACACTAATTAGAAAAATAATTCACTGGTCAGCGGTCTACACTCCATTAGCGGTAAAAGGCGTAAGAAAGTAATAATCATAAAAATATTTCAAACCAGTTTAACTATGCCCTAGGAGTTACAAGCTCTTCATTCAGAAGAGTTATGACGTCTCATGATAAAAGTCGAGTTCCTTCGGAAGTCACGAGGCCGATTCCCTTTCTAACAACCGAAGAAACCATTCATTTAGATACACGGAATGTTCGAACGATGTGGGAGATCGGGGGACTTTTCCAAATTGCTGCAGCGATGAAAAGATACAACCTGAAGGGGAGGCCGAGGAGAGACAGAGTTGGAGAATACTTGTCGGCAGCTTGTGCTCCGTTGGGGGTAACGGACGTAAGTCAGTCGGTCAGTAATTCAGTATTAAGAATTTAAGCTTCTAATTGAAATTATAAACATTACTACACTATCTTAACCACATTTTATTCATGTCTGATTTGAAAAAGAAAGATGAAACTCATAAAAACTATTCATGATAAACAAAAGCATGATACCAGATGGTTCTGCCAGGGTTCGAATTAGTACTATTCAACATTATGTTAAAAATCAAAATTAAAGTATGTTCCTGCATTTGCGCATAAATGATTTTCAAGTTTATTTACGCTGAACTTATCACCTAAACAAGTTTAGTAATCAAAATGTATCTAAAACCTAGTAAATGACAATTCAATATTAGGAAAACAAACAATTCCCAAGATTGCTTTGCACTTCTCTATCATTGAGACATAGTTCAATCATAATTTGTGCCTATCCGCAACTATGATTTGCACATATTTTTAAACCGCTTACTTAAAATTGTAAACGTACAATGCTCAAATAACTCTTGTTGCATAAGTTCAAGAACCGTTTAATTATTTAAAATCTCATGACATGACCAGTTTCTACGAGCTATCCGAAGTGTCAATATCTAGTCTAGGTATTATCTATTACAGTAATTTATTCAACTGACTTCTATTTTCTTTGGAATCGATTATTTCAGCAACTGACAAATAATATTGTTGGGCACGTTAGATCCCCAGAACTCACTTGTAAAAAAAAGGTCTTAATTTTGGATTTTTTGTGTTTTTGCGCATAAGTTGCTCAGTTGACTTCGAGGTTACATTTTCCACTCGGAAAATCCTTGACTTTCATTGGTTGATGCATTATTTCAGTAGGCTATTTTTGTGCCTTTCCAAAGGACATATTTCTATCATGTATAAATAAGCTCGAATTGTGTGCTTGTCAACCTGACTTTTTTGGGGTGCTTGTAGAATACACTTTCTAAGCCTTATCAAGACTTCGTACTATAGTTAGCAGGGCCTGGGGACAATCGAATCAGAATAGCCTATCGTGTCACTGTATCATTGCTTCGCTATCGTTTACCGAGTAAGGTGAACTCGTAATAGTTTCAAGTATATCAGTTGACTAGCATAACGAATATATTACTGAATTCAAAACTTAAAAAGGGATAATTATCTTTTTTTAAAATTTTCTTTAGTTACCTGTAATATGTGCTGTGAATGGTGAACCAGGTATATGATTTTCCATGAATTTAATCGATACAGTATATTCACCAGGTACCAATGGTAAATAGCTTACACTACAAGTACCATTTTTATTATCATCACATTGAATATCGGCTTTCGATGGTCCTTCAACAGAAAGTGACAAACCACCTTGAAGGAAACAAAAAAAAAGAAATTGAACATCGTGTCATCATCATTGGTGTGAAGTAGAAAACTGGTACATTAGATAAATGCAAATTCTCGTCAGTATTGAACTGAATAATCCTTTCAGAGAAATTGGGATTAATGTGTATACATGGTAGACATTAGATGTAGGTAAGTTAGGAAGCTAGAAAAGTGTTATTATTAGTGAATTGATATGATGAAGACAAACTTGTTATGGTTGAAAACAAGTGATATAAGATGACTTTTGTAACTGTTACATCAAGAAACGTAGGAAAATCAAGTATCTTATAAGAAACTGTGGTGGAATCGTGAATAAACCTTCAAAATTTTAATGATCAATACTCTATATCGCTGGAGTTTTTACGCTATTGTGAGTGCTTTAGTCTCAAATCGCTTACTACGTAGTTGTCACATTCTTAAGTAATATTATCATACTGAATTATGGGAACATGGTATGATACTCATTGAAAAGATAAATGTGGAAACAAAGTAACTAGGAGAATAACCAAATCACCATAATAAAACTGCTAATGTTGTCCAAATTGGACAACCATTGAAAACCAAAAATGCCCCAGCTAGTTGTCCCCACTCATCTTCATCCACGACTTTATTAGGGATTAGTTTTATTTTTCACGAATTCATAATTTTAACTCTAATTGGACTAATTTCCACTCTTATTATTCTTTATAACCATTATTCTGATTTCGGTTACGTTATTACATAACCCTTTACATGATTCTTTGATTTCTGATCATTAGTTCGATGTTTTGAAACTTTTCCGCTCATATTTTTATGATCTGTAGTGATCCAACTTTTAAAAAGAAAACGTGATTGGTTAAATAGAAACACTCATAATTATGAGCAATTGTACCAGTGATAGTTTAACTGAATTTCTTGTTTATTTGTACTTTTGAACGCGCACTTTCCGCTTGTCCGGTTGCCATCTTGATTATACTGCTCGTTGTATATTTGCTCGTATTCTCGTATTCTTTGAATACCACGAAACTGCCAGCAAATATACTCCTCCATCTGGATTATATCTTCTTCCTTGTCTTTGGTTTACGACGGGATGACGATTAGAGGCGGAGACATAATTGGTTTGTTGTGGTGTACATAATCAATCCCCGGAATCGACCCACTACAGTCCTTGCTAACTTTATTGGAAACTTCGCTACATTATAATACACATATATATCTTTAATCAACTTTGTATTTATAGGTCAATTTCTAAGATTATTTTAATTTTGAAATATTGTAGATTGAAAGCAGCTAATGACAACCAAACGAAATAAGATGTTTTTATCATCAGTAGTGCACATTCACGAACCCCACTCGCAGGAATCGAAACTCAGGACCGTCGGCCTTGCGGTCGAACGCTTAACCTCTAGACCATTGAGCCAGCATCCAGCGCTGTTAATGTCTAACTTCGACCAATCGACAGTCTTGTGTAACTTCATACACTGTCTTCGGTGAGCAGTGGCCTTACACCCGACAGCATTGAAATCTAATGGTCATAACTTCACACTAGAACTCGGAGAAACGACCTCAAGCAGCTAGTCACTAGTAAACGCATGATAATTTTTATTTTATGGTTATGGGGATTGTTGAGTTGCTTTAAAATCATGAATTGATCAATGTTAGTCTAAAGGTTATCCGTCCTATGAACCTCATTTTCAACGGATTATATTTTCCTGTTGTTGGTATTGAGGTCTTCAAATGATCAGTATCTATTGACATTTAAGCTAATAAGCGAATCGTCTTGATGTTGCCATCCAGTGCAAAGATGTATGTAAAGTTGGATAGTTGCTCACAGTGAAATCCAGGTGGCAGAAACCATCTTATTTGGGATTCGTCAACTGGATATATACCTCAAGCTCAATGCCGGAATTCGAACCCAATTTCTTCCCTTTTTCAACACCAACGCCTTAACCATCGATCTACTGAGTTCATGTTAACACCAAGCTGTGAAACAGATTTCATCGCCGGATACTACTCGATTTTGATAATTACCGGAAAAAAAAACATCTCACAAATCGTTAAAAAAATGCTAAATGAAGAAATAAATGGTGCTTTAATGTAAAAAAAGTGCTTAATAGTGTGGTGGTGCATCGGTTTCAGTGATCAATGAAATGAAACAACATAAACTATTCACCATTCATCAACACCTTACACACACACACACAGTGTACTAACTGTCATCTGATGTATTGTTTGTTCCTTCATTATTAATTGGTGGATATAAATATATATCCAGCTGAAATTCCGTGATATATGGAAATGAACCAATAATTTCATATTCATTACAATCTATTATAATTATAAAATGAGATTTGTTTTTTTTTTCAATTAGGAAAAAACTTATTAATAATAATGTAATTTTTAAAGATTATCTACATTACAAACTGCTGATATTAAGTAGTTAATCACTGGCAGCTAGCTAGTTTTGAACAGATATTTCAATATCGTTTTTTGGCAGTAGGGTATATTGATCCACTTTGATCGAAATCAGAAAGTCTACCCTCCTCTTAAGAGTTGCGACCCCCTGATCCATGACCATTAGTAATAAATTGGCTTACTTTCAACATGGTTTCTCACTCAATCAATGAAGACATTAAATCAATAAGGACATTTGTATTTACCTGCTCCAGCATCACGTGTAACTAAAGTGAAATTTGCCGGTTCACCAGCACGACCACAAGATAATCCTGGTCCATAAGCTGTCACAATGCCAGATCCAACAGCTTCAACATAAAATCTAAACGGACTTCCAGGTATTGATTGACCATTATAAGTGATTTCTAATTCATGCAGACCAGGTTCATTTGGTTGAAATTGTGCTGTCACTGTTCCATCACCATTATCCAATAATGTTGGATGTAGAATTCGACCACTTGGTGTACGTACTAAACCTGAAATGTGAGATTTTGATTTTTAAAACAAAGATGAACTTTCTTAATCACTTTTGTTAACAAAAAGCAGCTAGGTTTTTAAAGGGTTAGAATACCATGTTTTTTGTCACATTTTTAAGTTACACATTTTTGAAACCATGAACCGATCAATGTTAGACCACCATTAGAAACCTGGAAGCACTGGACGGCCGTTTCGTACTGGTATGGGACTCCTCAGCAGTGCTCATCCACGACTCCTGCACCCCGCAGGATTCGAACCCAGGACCTTCGGTATTGTGAGCGAATGCCCTAACCGATAGACCACTGAGCCGGTATCTTAGGGTGTTAATGTCTAACTTGGTCAAATTCACCTCATACACAGTCTTCGGTAGTTACTGTCTATACCCGAACAGGTTGAACTTCACTGGTCACGTCTTCCCGTCTAGTGCTTCCAGGTTTCTAAAGGTGGTCTAACATTGATCGGTTCATGGTTTCAAAAATATGTAACTTAACAATCTTCACAACCCCGTAATGCACATTTTTAAGTGTCAAGTTTATTTGGTTATATAATCATTATTACAATTCACATGCTTCAGTACTTTAGTCCTTGATAATATGATTGGGTGGTTGTAGATAAGACTTATAGCATAGTATTATCCACAGCCTGACCGTAACTGCTACCTTGACGTGGTGGTCGGGCTTGCCTATCGTGATGACCCAACTGAGCTATATTGGATTTAATATATGTTCCTGTAGGTTCTACCGTGCCAGGCAGGTAGATTGGAGAACGATGAGACTGAAAGCAGCTACTCAAGGTCTGAGGGCGAACAGTACCACTGACTGTTGACAAGTTTGACAGTAGTAAGGTGCTTCCCTCGGACAACCAGCATCTGCAGTGATGCTGCCTTCTCACAAGGAAGCAAGGGATTAGAAAAGTTTGACCCTAAAAATGTCACACCTCACCCTACCTGACGGATTTCCATCTCTGGTGGTGAAGCCATTTGAAGAGCGGAGCTGACAGTTTCGAAATGTCTCATAAAAAGGCCGTGTGTGATCAGCCTCAAGCAGTTGTGCGTTGGGCTCTGTGGTCACGCTTTCAGGTTGATTAGACCAACGCTAAACCGATTTCCTTTTCAGGTTCCTTAAGAAGTACCCTTTGACGATGTGGGCAGCCAGGAAGCGATAACCGCCCTCATGTACGTAGAAATAGACTGACTGATTATTCACATAGTACATACACCCAGGTAGATGCAGTTTTGTTTAAGCTAGTAACGCAACTATTGAATATATTGTTTGAATTATCAGACAGAGTAGTAGTGTTTAGAAGCTTTAGCGTTCAGTTTTTAGTGATCGAAGCATGAGTTTGTAATTCGCTCCACCTAATTTAGCTCACACATCATGGCAGAATCAGTAATGATTAGATCATATCTCAGTAACTCGATTGGTTATCAGCTCTATTCTGATGTTTACATTAGGAAATAGGGAAAAGTGAACAGCATCTCTGAATATTAATCTTGTACATAATAAGTATATTAGTATACACACTGTATCACATTTCCATTTCAACATATTCTTATAGTTCAGTACTGAAAAGAGTAAACTCTTACCTTCTACGTGACTAAACGTTGGACCGACCGGTAGTTTAAAATCAACTGGATGATATCCTGTTGTAATTGTTGATGATTGAACAGTTTGTACAGATTGTACATTCACATGCTGTACTCTTTGATCCTAGGAAGTTTGACATAAAAACAATTACATTTAATAGGTAAGTAAATGACCCCGAAAAAAATTATCACAATTCATTTTACACAATACTTTCTGTCGTAATGAGCAGTGATCGATCATAAACTGACCAACAGTCGAAATCTATGTGTAAAGTTTTGTTTTTTGGTGGATGTGAGCTTAAATTTCTAGAATAGTTTACACAGAATTAAAGTGGGACTAATTAGTCATCTCACTCTATAGTATGAATGGACGCTAATTGAATTCATGAACCGATAGATAGGTTGTTAGTTAATTTTATCAAGTATCTATTTACATTTCAGGGAATTTCTTTAATTCTTACGGTTCAAATAATTGAATTCATTGATTGGTTAAGAGATATTTAACTTTTTTCCACTTAGTTTAGTCATTATTTTAGCGGATAAGTAGTAAATTGCATTGATTCACACAGGGCTTTTAATATTTGGCAATGATTCCGTGAAAAGATATACTCATAAGTGTTTATCCAGAAACTAGAATGTTATTCTTAGAAAACTTACAACCTTTTCGGCATTCACACACTTACAGTTCAACGACTCAATCAGAAGTGTTACATAAAAGTTTTTGAAATTTATCTGTTCAATAATTCGTGATAAATATAACCGATTAGACAGTAAAACAGGTTGTTATTCAAGAACCAGTTATTAGTATTCAGTTTAATTTTCATGAGTAGATTTTTCGTGTTATCTTCGTCAAATGAAAGAATGCTTAGCTAACTAAATAGGACAATGTATAGTTAGAGCGTGTTTATGACAGATTACCAATATCATGTTGATATTTAACAAAGTAACTTCAATCAATATTTTACATTGACACCGAAGGGATCAATGCTGTGTACTAAATACCTGTCAAAGTTCAATATTTTGTTTGGCTTAGAAATGAAATCTGAACCTCATGTTTTAAAGTATGTATTCATTTAAAGTGATGTAAGAAACTGAGAGTTGAACGACTTTATCTTATTTTCTCTTCTAGGTAGCGAAGTGTCTTGAGTAATACAGGTTTATTGTGTATAAGTTGATTACACAAACATATCTATAAAATGATCCGATTAACTGTTAGGTTCGTCACTAAGTATGCTTGAAACTATTATGGGTTCACCTAGGTCGATAAACTAGAATTAGACAATAAACCAGCGTCCAGGTTGGTTACCTTGATCCGTTGACTCGAAACGGCTAAAGAGAAGTCTTGATATAGTGTATAAAGTATATTCTACAAATACCCAGCCAGCACAATGCAATCAGTCCCAAAACTCTCATTTATTTACACATCATAGAAACGTCCTTGGGACAGTCACAAAAATAGCGCACTAAAATACACAGCAGACAATCACAACCAAGGATTTTCTTGTTGGGAAATGAAATCTCAAGGTCAACTGATCTGCCCTTAATCGCAAGCATGAAATCCAAAATTTAAGGCATTTATCAAGCGAGTTCTGAGGAGCTAACATCCCCAACATTAACGCATAAATGTATAATTAGCCAACAAAATATTCTTTTATCCACAAAGTCTGATAATCCATCACACATTTATACTGATATATTTAGGAACTTCTAAAATGCGTTTTTCCTCTGGTAAACAACATTCCGTTTAATTTATTAAAGAAATCGAATGATAGGCGTTTTGTTTAACAGAATATAAATATCGAGAAACTTAATTTCTATTATTCAGTCATCATAAAATTGACTTTTTCTAATAAAACTCTGAATATTACGAAGTTCGAAATTTTGCCAATAATACTAAATGTTTATTCATGAATTGATTTAGGGCTTAGAACTTTCAAGGTCAAAAGAAAACAGGAAGGCTAAGGAACACATTACACCGAGAAACAGAAGAAAGATATAACAAGAATGAACAACAATTGGACAGAACTAAAAAGGGAAACCCAGGATAGAGAAGGATGGAGAATACTGGTTGGCGGCCTATGCTCCATCAGGGGTAACAGGCATAAGTAAAAAAATTTACCAAACAAATTTTAAAGTTCTTAGCTAAAATATCACTCAATTATCTTCATTTCATCTAATACTCTAGTTCTTACTGCTTGAGCACACGCTATTAAAAAGGGGAGGAGTGTTGGGGATGTTAGATCCCCAAAACACGCTTGATAAATACCTTATTTCGGTTTTCACGTTTGCCAGCATGGGCTGATCAGTTGACCTTGAGATTTCAATTCCCACCAGGAAAATCCATGGCTGTGATTAGCTGCTGTGTATTTTAGTGTGCTATTTTTGTGACTGTCCCAAGGACGTTCCTATGTTGTATAAATAAACGAGAGTTGTGGGCTTGATTGCATTGTGCTGGCTGGGTGTTTGTAGAATATACTTTCTACGCTTACAAAGCCTTTTTTTACTTCCGCTGGGATTCAAGGCAGCCTACCTAGACGCTGGTAATTGTCTCGTTCGCGTTTATCGACTAAGTGACGAACATAATAATTTCTTAGCCAAAATATCACTCGATTATCTTCATTTCATCTTATACTCTAGTTCTTATTGTTTGATTTTATTTTTGATTTGATAAAACCACAGTAAAAATAAATTCTTATTCTAACACTGATTTCATAATTATATTTTTTTAAAAGAATATTCATACTTACAGTTATATCATTCATTAGTTCTTCTGGGTTGACAGCCTAAAAACATAAATAATGAAGTATAATAGATAAGTTTTGTAAATTATTCAATGATACCTCATTCATGCATAAATCATACATTTTTGGGAAGTAAGAAAGTTAATCCAATGAAAATGGAGGTTGATTCAGTGATCATTAAATGATTATAGAAGTGTAGAATATTGATCGAGTAATAACCTCATACATATAGCTAAAAGCCTATTCTTTAAAAACGAACAGAGTTAGACATTGACACTGTTGGATGCGGGCCAGTTCAGTAGTGAGTGCTCCAGAGGTTAAGCGTTCACGTGCACGACTGAAGATCCTGGGTTCGAATCCCACGAGCGGCAGAAATCGTGAGTCCCGTACCAGGACGAAACGTCCGTCTTTCAGTACTTCCAGGTTTATAATGCTGGTGGTATAACAATGATTGATTCATGATTTTAATGTGAACTAAATTAAATCTTAGGGAACCCAAAAAATTAAAACATAAAACTGTTGTTCACTTGAGATTAATTCAATGTTTCAATTAAAGGCTACAATTGAAGTCTACACAAACAGGTGCTATATATTCATAAGTGATTTTGTAATTATTAATAAGGTCAAATAAAAGAGAATTATTTTTAAAAGTTCAACTTATTTCAAAATGATATATATATTTAATCAAAAGTGACGATTATTATTTATCATAGTTCAGCGATATAATTGTAAAGTCATTTAAATAAATTACGATATACTTAAAAATAATATTGATTAGATAGTCATCCTCTTTTTTTCCTTTATTATCTCTGACTGAAAACAGCCAAAAAATCGTTGAAAACTTTTAAGTGTATGATAGTTGTCTTTCAGTTTTATTATGTTCTAAAATCTGGAACAATTTGTACAATCGTTCTGATATAGCAGTAAAAGCTGGAAGATGCATTCTACGTCGAATCTCACCAATTTATATGGAGGTGACTGCGTTAAATTATGCGTTGAGCTCATCGATTCTATAGTGGTCCTTAGGCTTCGTACACTGCTCGTCCTGATAACCGATACTAGATAACGCCCAATGGTGTGTAAAACAAAGGACGAGTACGAAGCTTTGATTATGTTTATTATGGCATCACACACAGATGATAAGACTACAGGCATACAAAGCCAGAATGATATGCGAGTGCTTGAAGACCAAGTGAACGAGTGAGCGAATGAATAGGATTAAAATGTACATAGGAAAATGAATGAGTTGTCGAATTATTTAAAGGAGGCTAACATTAAAGCGAATAGAATGAATGTGCACGTAGGTTGTAAGCCATGTTCAATCATACGGCTTATACAAACCCAACAATAATAAAAGCACAATGATACAGATAAGTTGTTGCAATTCAAATGTACATGGAGGTACTACTGTAGTGAATGAGAACACAGGTGAGGGCAACCAAATTGCATTTAACGAAAATTACAGAGTTACTCAGTAAAATCGGAAAACCATATCGTAAATCGTTAATTTGCAAAATATCAGTTCATCATATCGAACTGGACTGTTCCTGTTGCAAAACATCAATCCATTGTCACTATTCATGTGTTTCATACAAATTCCATCGTGTTCTAACTCTTCCTTTCTTGATCTTCCCCCATCTTCTGCTGCCAGACATTACGTTGACACTAACGTTATATACTACTTATAAGTAGCTCACACCACACTACAATGCTAATTAAGATTATTGTAGAAAGACATTATGAATACCATTGATTCCATATGATTTTAATATTCAACTTACTTTTTGATTAAATCGTCCATTCGGGATAAGTTCACCACCAAATCTTATCTCAACTAAATAATCACCACGAATTGGTGGTGTATAGTAAATGTTGACACAACCATTCGGTGCTTCATGAATTTCAACATCAGCTGTTGCACCAGACGGTGTAACAATACGACAAGTTAATTGTCCAACACCAGCTTGTGCTGTGTTCACACTGATAACACATTCTTGACCAACAGGTATACGACTATCATTTCCATCTTTTGATAAATAAATAAAAAACCAAACAATTAGTTATATTCAAGTTATCATCCACTAAGGTGAAAACACATAAATAGTAGTGTAGTGAAGCAGAACACAGATGAGGGCAACCGAATTGTTACTCAGTAAAATAGGAAAACCATATCGTAACCGTTAAGTTGCAAATCATCAATCCATTGTCTGACATTTCACTATTCATGCGTTTCATACACAAATTCCATTGTGTTCCCACTCTTCCTTTCTTGATCTTCCCCCATCTTCTGCTGCCACACATTACGTTTACACTCGCGTCATATACTACTTATAAGTAGCGCGCAACACAGTAGTACAAATAATCAATGAACTTGTGGATGGGTTGAAATAGAGTTTAGGTATCAAAACCGGGACAGTTGGCTTGCTTAGGAAGCCACTCTCCACGTCTTTCACCCACAAGTCTAATCCACAAGGTAGTGGAACAACTTTAGATGATGCGATCTCATGGTCACCAGTGAAAAACAACAATGTTCATTCGTCATTTGTAACCACAAGAACCTAGATCCTATGTGAACTGTTGGTTTAGAACTGGAGTTTTTCAACTCCCCTAGGTGGTTCCTCTGTACTCATTAACTCTGTTTAGGCATTGAATATTCAGTTCCCTCCCTCTTAATTTTGTAAGCACCACTCAGTAGGTCTTCCTCGGTAGAGACTAAATATCCACGGCCATATGATAGCATTTCAGGAAGGAGAGTAAGCTTTTGAAATCTGAGCAGCATTATCAAGTTGTTTCTTTATATTGCTTACTTAGAATAACTATGAAGTGGATTTAATGAAGGTTTTAAGAGTGGACACTGATTGTTATGTCATTCAAACTACAAGCGAACAATATTGCAGGAACCATACTGAATGGAAGAGATCACACTATATCAAAAACTGACCAGAATTCTAAGTGTTTCCTATTGGATATTTACTCAGCTGCTTAAAGATATATTACTTCCACGAGACCCGAGATTTATTTGCTCGGTTCTAACCTAGACCAAAATAGCTGCTTAGTTCAATTCCAAAGACGAATTGATTAGCGTCAGATTTAATGAGGAACAATTCACAATAATTTCATACTAATCATTTATTTGAACACCGTTAAAAATTATCAGTGTACTTGAGTCAAATGTTTAAAACGAGTCAGAAGTCATCAACTCAGATTCTAATTCATTCAACTATTGTGAGAGAGGTGTACCATGCTATACTGTGTAATATTTAGTTAGGTGTGAGAAGAAACCTCTTACAGAATGATTTCTCATTGTTCAGTTTCATATTAGTTTTCTTGGGTGTTCATTGATCATCAATCCTAAGCTATCTCTATCTATTAACCACTGGTTTTCTATAGTTATTCAACTAACATGACTTCATGATGAAAATCAACTTCGGACACAGCGAAGCAAGAATCACTTAAAGACCTTAGTCTCATACTGGTGCCTATTAATAAGGAGTAAGTATTGTTAACTGACTTCTACCCTAATCCTATAATATATATATATATATATATATATATATATATATATATATATATATATATATATATATATATATATTTGCACATCACATATCTATGATAAACAACATTTGTCTTGATGACGTAATAGCACAAACTATTTATTTTCATGGCCGAAAAAAATGAACATTCTAACCAACCTCTAACATAAAAACATCAATACAATACATTTTACTTTATATTGGGGCACAGTTTTGGAGGTTTGCGTTTTTACACATTTGAAATCATTAATCAATCATCATTGTTAGACCACCATTAGAAACCTGGAAGCACTGGACGGCCGTTTCGTCCTAGTATGGGACTCCTCAGCAGTGCGCATCCACGACTCCTGCTCCTCGCAGGATTCGAACCCGGGACCTTTGGCATTGTAGGCGAACGCCTTACCATCGGACTACTGGGCCGGCATCCAACGGTGTTAATGTCTAACTCTGATTGATCTAGGGATTTTGCGCGACCTCACCCATTTGTCTTTGGTAGTTACTGCCTACACCCGACAGGGTTGAACTCCACTGGTCACGTCTTCTCAACTAGAACTCCGAGAATTTCCTCACGAAGCTAGTCACTAGTGAGCACTGTTACATTATATTGGGGCACAGTTTTGGAGGTTTGCGTTTTTACACATTTGAAATCATTAATCAATCATCATTGTTAGACCACCATTAGAAACCTGGAAGCACTGGACGGCCGTTTCGTCCTAGTATGGGACTCCTCAGCAGTGCGCATCCACGACTCCTGCTCCTCGCAGGATTCGAACCCGGGACCTTTGGCATTGTAGGCGAACGCCTTACCATCGGACCACTGGGCCGGCATCCAACGGTGTTAATGTCTAACTCTGATTGATCTAGGGATTTTGCGCGACCTCACCCATTTGTCTTTGGTAGTTACTGCCTACACCCGACAGGGTTGAACTCCACTGGTCACGTCTTCTCAACTAGAACTCCGAGAATTTCCTCACGAAGCTAGTCACTAGTGAGCACTGTTACATTATATTGGGGCACAGTTTTGGAGGTTTGCGTTTTTACACATTTGAAATCATTAATCAATCATCATTGTTAGACCACCATTAGAAACCTGGAAGCACTGGACGGCCGTTTCGTCCTAGTATGGGACTCCTCAGCAGTGCGCATCCACGACTCCTGCTCCTCGCAGGATTCGAACCCGGGACCTTTGGCATTGTAGGCGAACGCCTTACCATCGGACTACTGGGCCGGCATCCAACGGTGTTAATGTCTAACTCTGATTGATCTAGGGATTTTGCGCGACCTCACCCATTTGTCTTTGGTAGTTACTGCCTACACCCGACAGGGTTGAACTCCACTGGTCACGTCTTCTCAACTAGAACTCCGAGAATTTCCTCACGAAGGCTAGTCACTAGTGAGCACTGTTACATTATATTGGGGCACAGTTTTGGAGGTTTGCGTTTTTACACATTTGAAATCATTAATCAATCATCATTGTTAGACCATC